AAACGTAAGAAAAAACAACATTCAGAACACTGCCAAAGAGCCTGAAAGACCCACAACAACCAGTATTCAAATACTTTAAAGGTAGTCATACAGTAAAGGGATAGGGTCTGTTTACAATCATCCCAAGGTCCAAGACATGTAATAATGGGCTGAAGTTACAGGGAGAAAAATATCAGGAGAAACTTTGTAATTGTTATTGCAGTACCCTAGTGGAACCAGTTAGCTCAGGAGGTGGTGACGGCTCCAACACGGGACACGTTCAAGAGAAAGTTAGACACCTTCAGATATGGATTGACTGGAAATCCTGCATTGAGCAGTGGGTTGGACTTGATGGCCTTACAGGCCTCATCCAACTCCATTATTCTTTGATTGTGTGGTCTCTCTGAACTCAGCTATAATCTTGACCGTAGTTAGATAAATGGATTACATAGGAACAGTCTATTGCTGCCAGTCACCCTGTTGTAATGAAGAGTGTTTGATAATGGTTTGCTTTTGAATGGATAATTAAGGACCATTAATTTTTCATTCATTAACGTGGACCTATCCTGCCTGCCGGGGACATTGTGGTGCTGCGGGTTAAAAGCCTGTGCTGCAAGGTCGTAAGACCAGCAGTTGTGAGATCGAATCCTCACAACGGAGTGAGCTGCCATTGCTTGTCCAAGCTCCTGCCAAGCTCCTGCCTTTGGACAAACATTGGCTCTATGGCTTGGGAACGGGGATGAGCACCGTGACCTAGAATCGGACACGACTGGACTAAATAGTCCAATGGAAAGGCAAAAGCCATTACAACTGGTTCCAGCAACGTCGCAGGAGTCGCCAGAGCGTGAGTGTACACAGTCATGAACTGCCTCCAGGACTCCGGCTCCAGATTTTGCCTCGAGATTTCCTCCTGAATGAAGCTTTTTCAATTGAGAAATATAGTAATAAAGAAGTAAATAGCTGATTTTATTTATTTGTTTTAAATATTTGTACCCTATCTTTCTCCTACAAAGAACACAAGTTGACTTACAGTATTAAAATATAAGCAGTATTGAAAGTAGAGAACAAGACATCATTATAATATTTTAAAACAAGTAAAAAATATAATATTAAAAGCTAATCGATAAGAACTAAAAAGACAGTAAAATCAAGGGAAATGCAACTGTCCCATTTTAAGAACTAACACTCTGCTCTCCTTTTGTGACACCGCTAAAGTACTTACCGGAGACAGTTGAAACTGTCTGCCTAAGGGTAGGACCGGACCCATTGATTGGCTAAATGGGACAGCGGCCCAGTGAGACACAGGTTAGCTTCCTACACTGGTGTAGTGTCTCTAGGTCACAGGTTCTCAATACACTGGCACATTATCTCTTGATCACCTTTCCGCTTCATCTCTCTGCTAACAGTATGCGCTGCCTCATCTCCGGAAGACGAAAGGGAACATCATCAACATCTCCAGCCTTATCGGTCGTATTGGATATAGGGATGCTCTCGCATACATCACATCCAAGGTAATTGTGGGCACTGAAACGAAGTATCAGGGGTCTTTCTATTCTCTTCTCTTATTTTAAAAATGCAGTTGCCAACATTTTTAGAACCTTCTGCTCTTGTTCCTTTAATAACAACCAATAATGTTTTTTTTAATGCCATGAAAGTTCCTTAGGTGATTTATGTATACTAAGTTACACTTAAGGACCAAAGAAATAGGCTTTTAGCCCTCTGGTAAATCTTATAAATACTTGTTTTCCATACATAATGCTTTTGTGTGTTTTTTAAGTTGTACGGCCCAGATCAGTCAACTAATTGCCAAATGGCATAAGGTACAGAAACCTCCGTCTCTTAGCCATTTCAAAAATTATTTGTGACACACTTGAGGTTTGAGATAACTTCTTGCGAGTGATGTGAGTTGGGTGGTTGCTGTCTAGGTTCTTATATCTCATTCATTCATTCATTCATTCATTCATTCATTCATTCATTCATTCATTCAATCAATTTATACCTCACTGTTCTCCTAGTCAAGGGACCCCAAGAGCTATTTACAGTGGCAAAGGTTGTCAAAATACGGGGGAAAGGCTGAAAAAACAATGACTGTGTTGATAGGGTGGTCATTTTTTTAAAATAAAGTAAAATTGACCTCTGCCTCTGTGCTACTGATTAGAAGTCTGGTCTACAGATGAGGGGAAATGGAAGCGTTGTTCTCTGTGTGATGACCGTCCCAGTGATTTTTGGTACCACAAAACACAGGTGGGAAGAGTCATCTTTTTAGACTATGGTCCCCAGGAATACTGGAGTCAGTATATCCCCAAAGCAAAAGGGGAGCCAAGTGTTGTTATGTAAATGGCCTTTTAGTTTCCCTCACCCACAATTCCTATACCTTGCAGGGTGGTATAACTGCCATGACAAAAGCGATGGCCCTTGATGAGAGCAAAAATGAAGTTCGAGTCAACAGGTAATGTTGCTGATGCTATAAATACTATGTGTAGTTCCTTTGTCATAGACTACATCTCTGGGGCCAGCTGACATTTTAAGACTCCAGAATATAATAAAATAAAATCCTCAACAAAACTCGTTCATTTTGAAAAACATTTGCCACAGGTGAATAGATCTGCTTGCTGTTTCCTGATGCCCCCCCTTCTATTAAAAATCCCAATAATTTGAATTCCAGTATCTCACCTGGTAATATCTGGACTCCTCTGTGGCAGAGGTTGGCAAGCGAGACAGCTGATCCTGAGGCACTGATCCAAGAAGGCATGAATGAATCGGTAAGTGTTGTGGTACAATGGATATGGCCCTGTTGGATAAGGAGGGCTGCATTTACACCCACCCCCTAAACACTGCTATGATCTGCATCAAAAATCTATTAGATTCTATAATCTCTATATAGGCTGTACATCTAATCTGATTTGTGGATACCAGCCATTTTTACATATATACAGTCTTATGTTTACTCATGGAGAAATGAAAGTATTTTGTGTAACGCACTTGAAGCCTCCCTAACTCTTGGAAACCCTTTGTAACCTTTCCTCCCAAGTTCTCTGATCTCATAAGCTGAAGGGCTAGAAACTTGTATTGTTGTTTAAATTAAATTTTTAATTTAAATGTAGATAGGCTTTGGTTCTAAAGATATTTTGTCTTCCACTCCCAGAAGCCTCAGTCATCCTGGTCAGTGATAGTAGATTCTGGGGATTGTAGTCCAAAATACCTGAAGGCCCCACTTATTTTCCTTCAGTGGCTACCTCTGTTTTAAGATTGGCCACTTCTTCTTTTAATTAAAAGTTATGATTCTTAGGCGAAATTGAGTACATCAAAGTGGTGTGTGTGTCCTCAATTCTTTCTCTCCATTTTTCATTGTATTCGTAGCTTCTGGGACGGCTAGGGACTGCAAAAGAGATTGCACTGGCTGCCTTGTTCCTGGCTTCTGATGCCACCTATTGCACCGGGGCTGACCTTGTGGCCAGTGGGGGAGCTGAGCTTGGCATGGCACCGAAGAGCCACCAAGATGCCGCTGAAGGTGTTAAAGGCTAGTGGGAATAAGCCCAGATCATAATACGTCTGTCCTTGCAAGGACAAGGGAGAAAACAGTAATTCCTGTCTTTGCAGGGTGCTGTTCCAATGGCTGGCTTCTTAACATTCATCCATCAAGAATAAAAATTTTTAAAAATCTTTTTGGGTGAATTGTAGGATATTTCTTGATCATTTGATCTCTGTTGCCCCTCTGAAGCGAAGAAATTTAAGTTTCCACTGCGTGGGCCCATTCTGCTGACCTGTAGCAAAGCCCCCCAGCTCCTGCCTTATGGTATTGTAAGGTTGAAGGTGACAAGCCTGTAGCTGCAGGAGGTGTGACATCCTTTCCTGCCAAAGGGAAACATCATACAACCTATAGGGACTTTGGAAGAGACTTTGGGGGGACTCGGACAGTTTGAACCAAAATAGCCAAGGAACAGATCTGCCAGAGAGGGAGACATTTGGGAGGAAGGGAGGGAAATGAAAGAGGGACGGAGGAAGAGAAGGCAGCGGTTGAGAAGTTGGAAGAGGAAGGGAGCTGTTGGGTCAAGGAGAAAGAAGAGAAAAGGACAAGCTGGAGGAAGGGTGAGTGGAAACTGTAAAGGAGGATCTGGGGATGGGTGACTGGGGAATGCTTGAAGTGGCTGAGCAGGAGTGGAGGAGGCAGCTGTATTGGAAACCCCCAACTGGGGTGAGACAGAGGAGAGAGAGAAAGGAAGAGGACAGAGAGAGAGAGAGAGTGAAGAGAAAGGTCAGCCTGCAATCGAGAGAACCAGGCCTGTCCAGGGCCTTGTGGGACGAGTCCATTCAGACCCAGAATGTGACCCAACCCATGGGGAAAAAAAAGGTTGGGAGCCCACTAGGGTCAGGGTCTTCGACCCACACCAGTAACAGAGGTTAACAGAGACCCAAAGGCCTAGTATCGTTGGTGGCTGGAAATGGACAGATGTTAGTTCTACTCCTTTGCCGGTTGGAAGGAACATTTGTTTATGGATATAGGGAAAGGCACTCAAAGCCTCTGAAGGAAGAGGCCATGCCAGAGGATGGCCTTGAGTCACAGAAACATTTGGGGGGTGGGTGGAAAAAGAAGTTGTTTTACTACAAAATGAAGTAACAGCATCGTCTGTGGTGAGAGTAGGGTTGCCAGATACATGGGTACCCAAAGGAGGACATAGAAAGACAAAAAAGAGGACAGAGGAGGACGTATTGAATGTTTCATTTGAATTGTTCCGGATTAAACCTGCAATCAATACAATTTTATTACAATAGCTGCCAATAAATGTCTCTTAGTGAACCAATGAAGAAACAGCCATGTTAAAAAATAAAAATAAATTCAATTGAGGCTTTTTTTTAAAATACTAAAAAGCTGGGGAGTGTGGAAGTTGGAGTGCCCGAAAGGGACTTTGAACACACACTGTCCGAGTGTTCGCCTTCCCATCAATGTGTTCGTGCGGCGCTACTTGCTCCTGCCTGGCTGGTTGTGTGGGTAGACCACTACTGTCCATTCTAGTGGTTCTAGTCCCTCTTTGCTCATCTTAGCTGCAGGAGGGTCTAGGAGCAAATCCCCGCTGGTCTTCAGGTTTGGGAACTCCCACATCAGTTTCAGGAACTCATCTGACTCCTCTTCGCCTCCTGCCTGTACAGCTATATCTTTCGTCTGTTTCACTCTCTCGCCCGTTGCAACACTGAAATTTCGCACCTTCTCTCCTTCTTTTATATTCTCCTCCCATACGATCAAATTTAACTCCTCCCCTTTATCTTCCGCCAAACAAACCTCCAACGCTTTTCTCTCTTCTCCCTCATCTTTCTCTATCTCCACTAAGATCCCCTCTACACAGCCATGATCCGCCTCAGTGGTCTGAATCATTGAGGACAGCACACTGACGACGACTCCTTCACAATCTCTAAGAAAAATATGCTGGAACATGAGACAATTTCTATTAAAGGGATTGGAGCTGAAAGAGTGGAGTTGCCATTGGCAAAAATTCCCATAAAATATAAAGGGTGGACAGGAGATTGGACTACCTACCCGTGTCACTCGTGCGAGTCAGGAGGGGAGGCTGAGGAGCCTGATGCCGAGGGAGGCCTGGAAGGAAAAAACAAGAAACCGGGCCTTCTCAGTGGTGGCTCCTCACCTCTGAACAATCTACCTCCGGAGATTCACGCGGCCCCTTCGCTGGGTATCTTTAAAAATCAATTTAAAACGTGGATGTTTCGGCAGGCTTTCCCTTCAGCTAATTCCTGATGCTTTCCTTTCCTTTTCTTCCCTATTGTTCGTCTTCCATCTTCTTGAATTTGTTTATCATGTAAAAATCCTTTTAATATTTTTATCTGTGTATTTTATGTTGTTAGCCGCCTAGAGTGGTCGTAATTGACCAGATAGGCGGGATATAAATAAAATAAATAAAGAAAAATAAGACAGTGGCCATATCTGAGCAAATTCCTGCCTGATGTTTAATAGGCCTGGATTTATCAGAGCATGTACAGAGTATTTTTGTAACAACTTGTTCCCAGGGAAGGCCAATTGAAGACACTGAAGAAAACTTTGGGAATTTTGAAATAATAGAAGGGAATGAAACAGCTGATCTAGTCACTATGAAGAATCCTAGTAATCTGTCTTTCATAAAAGAACAAAAAGAAGACCCTACCTTAAATGAATGCTTTCGACAAACTAAGGAAGGGCCCCTGACCCCTGAAAACCCTGAAATATACTGTGTGAAGGGAGACCTATTCTACAGAGAGGTTCTAGTGAATCCTATGAGGGGAGGGGAGAGCATTCTCAGACAACTGGTAGTACCCTTCAAATACAGAGAAAGAATTTTAGAAAAGAGACATAAAGATGCATTTGCTGCTCATTTAGGAATCTCGCGTACCAAACAAAGGATTGCTCAAAACGTTTACTGGCCTGGGATGGGGCAGAAGGTCAAGTTATATTGTCAAAGCTGTGACACATGTCAAAGGCAGAGTACTGGGAATGACAAGACCAAGGCTAAGGTGTGCTCACTACCAGTCATCCCAACTCCATTTCAGCGAATAGGCCTAGACATAGTGGGACTCCTACCTAAAGTTACCAGGTGGGGAAATAGATTCATTTTATCCATAACTGATTATGCCACAAGATACCCAGAAGCTGTTCCTTTGCGGAATATGGAAACAGAGACAGTGGCAGATGCACTGTTATATTATATGTGTCACATAGGCTTCGCTTCCAAAATAGTTACCGATTTGGGGACCTCATTTACATCCAAATTAATGAAAAGGTGGCAAGTCTGTGGCATCACTCACATCACACCATCCCCTTACCATTCCCAGACAAATGGACTGGTTGAGAAATTTAATAGGACCCTAACATGAATGATTCGAGCACATACTGCTGAAAATCCAAATGACTGGGACCATAAATTGCAACAATTATTGTATGCTTATAGATGTGTACCCCAGGAAAGTACAGGATTTAGTCCTCTCGAACTATTATTTGGAAGGAAAGCCCGGGGACCCCTAGATCTACTCTGGCAGAACTGGGAAGAACATAGAACGGAGGATCCTGAGTCAGTGGTCCAATATACAGATGCACTGATGAACTCCTTGCAGCAGTCTCTTGAGTTAGCAGCAGAAAACATAAAGAGCCATCAAGGAAAGCAAAAACACTGGTACGACAAGAGGGCCAGGGAAAAAGCATTTAATTCTGGAGACAAAGTGCTAATGTTGAAACCTATTATAGGAAATAAACTCCAATTAGCTTGGGCAGGCCCATTTAGAGTGGTCTCTAAAATGAGTAATGTGAATTATGTAATTCAGGAGTGGGGAGAAGAAGGCAGAAAGGTTTTGCAGGAAGACATAATTAAAATATATTATAGGAAGGAAAATTATGTTTGGTATACCATCAAAGAAACGCCCAAGGAAAAACCTGAATTATGGTATTGGGAAGGAAGGGGTGTACTCCAGTATAACCCTGAGGAAGTCAAAATTAGCCTTACTCTAGCACCCGAGCAACAAGAAGAAGCCAGAGCTTTATTCAAAAACACAAGCACGTCTTTTCTAATAAGCCTGGTGTAGCCAAGGGTGTAGTCCATAAAACAGAGACTTGGGGAGGACACAAAATCCACCTAGAGACAGTATTACAAAGACTAAATGAAGCTGGGGTGACAGTCAGAGCTAGTAAAAGCCAACTGGGTAGTTCTGAATTAAAATACTTAGGCCATGTAGTAAGGGGAGGTATAATCAAACCCCTTGTATCTAAAATAGAGGCTATCAATAATTGGCCCAGGCCAACGTCCAAGGGGATAAAAAATCTCTCGCCGGCTATTATCATTGCTTTGTACCCAATTTCAGCGAGATAGCCGCCCCTTTATCTGATTTAACTCACAAAAGAAAGGCTGAGAAGATCCAATGGACAGATGACTGCGAGGAGGCCTTTAGCAAGTTGAAGACGGCGTTGACTACCGTTCCTGTCCTGAGAGCCCCAGACTTTCAGAGAGAGTTCACAGTCTTCACAGATGCGTCCAACATCGGGTTGGGAGCTGTGCTGAGCCAGGCAGATGACGACAGAAACTATCATCCTGTAACCTTCCTCAGCAAGAAATTGAAGGCGGGCAAGAGGCATTTGTCCATGATTGAGTGGGAGTGCCTAGCCATCGTTTGGGCATTGCAGAAACAGGCCATTACATATGGGATGGCATTTTGTACTTTGCACCGATCCTTCCCCACTGCTGTGGCTGAGAACTATCCGGGGCAATAATGACAAACTGATGAGATAGGCCCTACTTTTGCAGGGCTTTGATTTTGAGATTCGGAATGTGAAGGGAACCCAGAATGTAGTGGCTGACGCATTATCTCGGAGACCAGAGGACTGACGGATGGAGAAGAAAAATGCAAAATGTAGTGGTATATAAACTGTTCTGTTCATGCATAAGTTTGAGATGTAATTAAAATGTATGTGTTGAATTAATGGTAAGTAGTGATAAGTGTAACAATAATGTGATCTGTATTAATGTAATTGTAATTAATGCAAATATTTATAATTGTAATGACTGGGTTAATTGCTTAAATTAATAAATTTAATTCGCTCTAAATAGTAATCAATAATAGCACATATGCATAGATCCTGTATACGAAGAAAAAATATTATGTAAA